AGCAATTTGTTACTGGCTGCTAGGTGTAACAAAAAATATGTTTTTAAAAACAAAAAATAAAATACTTTATTTTTATGCTGAGTACTTTTTTTTTGAACCATTTAGTCGAGAAATACTTTATGTAAAGCCTGAAAAGGTGGCAACCCTAGTTACAGTTAATATGTTTATTTGTCTCGTTTGTAAAGTTGGTGGATATTGGATAGTATGCAAACTGTCTAAATGTCTAGTTTGACGGATATGTATAAAGTTATGATTGGGACTTTTAAGGCGAGCAATCGTAAGCATGTCAGTCAAACTAGACATTTAGACAGTTTGCATACTACTCATGCAGACTAGCTAAATAAATTTAAAAAGATCTTTACTGATTTTATGACGAAACTTCCTTGTCTTCATCATCATTTTGTATATTAAATATACTTACTGTTTCACAAATTGCCGCTCAAATAGTTTAAGCTACAGTACTCGCGCTTTAGCGTGGCATAAATCCAATTAATGTAAGACGGTCGATAATGCGCTGGGAACAGTTACAGGGCCGCACCGACCAGTTAAATTAGCATTTTATTGCTAACGAACTGTGGGTTTTAATAGACAATTATTTGCATTCGCCGCTTATCAGGAATTACAAAGAATGTCGTCCACGCTACTGAATTTACGCCTTTATAAGTAATTAATCCTCACGTCAGCTCAGACGGATGGAAGGCTAATGACATTAAAGAAACCCCTATTACAAGGGTGTGCTTATTAGGGTGCTTAGAAAGGGAGAGATAGTGTGGCATATAAAACAACGTATTTCGAAGAGAAATGTGAAAGTGTGTAGGTACTTCTTGTAGTGTAGGTGCAGTTAAAGAAAATTTATGGGCTACTTACAGTGGCCAAGGTATTGCATTTGACGCCTGGCTTGCTCGGCCCGGGCTTCTTGATCCATAATGTTATTCAGCATTTCTAATTTGCGTTGAATGTCGGCCGCTTCAGCGTTTTCAGGATCTGAAATGTAACGGTGAAAACAGCAAATGTACAAGCTAATCCATTTTAAGTGCTTAATCTCGTCAGATGGTCGTCAAATATTGTATTAACAAAGCATACTTACTAAATTGGTACCGAAGCAAACTGTAAAGACTTTTCTGTAATTTCTACAAATGTTAAAGGTTTAGAAACAAAGGAGTTCTTCTAGAATTATTCATATAACGGCTGAAATTCGTGTTTGGCACGCAAGGAAATATATTGTGCCAGGACACTTACATATTTTATATCAACTGGTAGTAAATGTACTACATAATTGTATATAAATATGTTATCTGAAATGTATGAAATCCGTCATTGTATACAATTCCTAGGAAATGTGTGAAATAAATTATATTTGACACATTTCCTAGGAAATCTACACATTTCCTAAATAACAATCGTATTACAGGTAACATCGGTAAATAGGTAAAAAACCTTAATTAGGAAAATCGACATTCTTTTATTTTTATTTAGAGAGGGGATTATTGTTTTTATTAGGGTTTTTGCAACTGTAAGAATGAATTTATAAAAAATGGTATGATTGATGCTAATCTAGTGCATAAGACAGAAGAAACTGAATTGAAATTTTCTTTATTTTGGCATCAGGTAATGTTTAAGAAACAAGGTGGAATTACTTCTTACATTGAGCTCCTCTGTCGTGCTACAATTTAAATAACTTTATCAAAATTGTATTGATTACAACCAGTTATTATTTTTTTTGTTGAAAATACTTCAACGATGATAATATTAAGAGAAATAACGATGGAAGAATGGATTAGATAATTAACTGCCTCTATTAAAGTTCGATAATTACAACTGATGAGTTCTATAAAGTTCCTTCTTTGGCACGTGAAGCACATTTGGGCGCTAAGCACGAAAAAGGTCACCGGAACCTGCGTCAGTTTTTATTACATTCTTGGTAGTATGGAATCAAACACCAACCTCAGAGATTGACATTTTCCTGAATATAATTGTCCATCGGAATAAGGATTAAAAATTTCTCAGCGGGGGATCTCAAATTAAAGATATACAAAGGAAAAGTTTACTTCTACGTGTTCTTCATATTCAAGCATTTGTACAAGAGGAAAATGCATTTTAATTGCAAAATTAATATTTGGTACCCATAATATTTGAAAAGAAGAAAATTAAAATTGAAAAATATTTTAATCGTTTTATCTCATTACTTAGGCCTTCTTCAAGAGCAATACAGCTTTATTAAAGATTAATATTTTGCTTATTTCTTATTAATCATTACTAAACCTATTTTATTCTTCAAAAGGACCTTACAAACAAAATTTTATTAAAAAATTTTAGAGGTTTCCTAATTTTAATTTCCTTCACAAGTTTACGACGAAAGGATCAACAGAAATTATTAATAATAATTTTTGGTTTAATGAATGCATCTTTACTTGCCGAATATTTTGAATTGACAGATCACATAATTAAACTACTGTTTACTCTTACATTGATATGAAAATATATTTGAAATAATAACAAATAATGAAAAATATTTCCACTCGTTCGTGATTTTGTTATTGTCCTTCCATTTTCCATGTTCTATTCTAACTGAAGAAAATTAATCAAAATAACAGCTATACCTATTCTTCTACATCACTAATTGTTATACTAATAAGTAATAGATGTGTAATCAACAAAAGAAGGGATGAAAATACCACTACCTATTACACCTACCGGGTTTCACAAATAATTATCTACTGGGGACACTTAGTACTTCGTTAGTACCTACTTAATAATTACTGTAATTTACGGCACTATGAAAAAGTAACTAATTATTCCGTTTTGTAATTAATTAATAATCACCTACATGGATATAACTGAAATCTAATTAATTCTAATTGCAAGTTAAGAAAGTCAATCGGAAGAAAGTGTCAATTGCGCTCGCTATAGAAAGATGCAATTCATGCAGGATTAGTTAGATTATTTGAATAGATAGAGGGAAATAGGTATTTATCAGTTGTGTGAAATAGAATACAAAAATTAGGTGTACATCTTGCAGTATACTTTATGTGTGCTCTGGTGCTGTTCTTTTTTTTTATAATTATTTATTATTACGTATCGTAAGTGAATTTACCTATAGAAGAGTAACACTTTGACAATGAAACTTCGCACACGCCGTTACTGTATGTAAGACTTTTCCATCCTGTAGGAGGATCATATNCTATTTATCCCAATAAATTCCTGACCAAGAATTTAATCCTTTCTTACATATAAATTTATATCTAATTGTAAATACTTTCGATTAATATTAATCTAAACGGTTATATACCAAAGAGCTAAACAAAACCTTATAGTTTATATATGAATGCACCTTCTCTGTTCCAATTTATCTTTATTTGCTTGAGGAAGTTATTTAATGAAGGTAAAAGAAAATTGAATTCATGTGAAAATAATATTTTGGATCTTCCATAATCAGTCTTTATAAAAACATGACTGAGCTTAAGGGTGAAGACAAGGACGCCTGTATATAAAGGGCCTCCCTTTTATAATAAGGGAACTCTAAGATATTAATCCTTGGAGTCCTGAAACTACAAATTTCCTTTTTCATCTCGGACTGCCTTAATGTCAAGTGAGGTCTCAGTAATGATTATTTTTTTATGATTAAAGTTTCTGTACGAATGACGACTTCAAATGAAAGCTTCACGATTATGTCTAAATGTATTTAAACCTTGAAACCATTTGGTCTAGAAAAATCTATTTAGTTATCTAGAAAGCGTTTTAGTTTATTTCTTGTTTCTCAAATTCAAAGATTGCCAATTTTGGTTATCTGCAATTTATACCCTTTTTAGACAGATTGTAGTAAAAAAGAAGGAACGAATTGGTAACATGTTTTTTTTTTTTGAAAAAATGTAGAAAAAAGAAAGTTCAAGTACTGTAAGCCCCAAGCTTTTCATTTTCACAAAAGCAAATATTTGTTTACGTTATATCGTTTCCTTTTTTTGAGTATCTTTCCTTTTTGTGTAAAGAAATCTCCAATCAGCTTTAAAAGCAACTTAGGCAGCGATTTTCAGATATTTATGATTTTGAATATGAAGGATGTTTTGTACCTCGTGTACAGGTGACGCAAATAAGGGAACGAAATAAATGTCACCAAAAATAAAATCTTTTTGAAACGGTAAACTTATTATTACAAAAGTAAATAGAACAGAAAATTGTGAAGATTTATGAGGTTTCTATATATGCTATCACCAAAAATAGCTTAAATAGGTGTTTTTGGATCTTTATTAGATTAGAATATCTGAAAATCCTGAAGGAATATTAAGACACTTCAAAGGAGTTTGCAAAAAAAAAACAGGAAAAATTCAACTGATGCTGTTCTAATTCGGGTCTAAAGGCCGACGTCGGTTGAAGTTGCTTCCTAACGTTTCACTATCACAAGTGGTGGTGATAGCGAAACGTTAGGAAACATTTCCAACCGATGATAGCCTCAAATAGACAAAAATTTTCAGTCCCTCAGAGTCTTTTAGCGTCTTTGTGAGCGTCTCTCACAATCTCTCAGTTACTGCCTAGGTGTTTTTATAGATTTCTCACAGGCTCTGTATGAGAGACTCGAACGATAAAATTGTTAATTCAGAGATTCGAGTCTCTCACAGAGAGACTGAATGAATAAGACTGAAAAATTGAGAGACTCGAGTCTCTCGTAAAAAGACTGGGATCTCTAAAATATGTTGAACTTAGAAAATTTTAACCATGTCTATCGAGACACCACTTATTGAGAGATTCGAGTCTCTCGTTCAGAGA